GAGAGAGAGAGAGAGAGAGAGAGAGAGAGAGAGAGAGAGAGAGAGAGAGAGAGAGGGTTTTCCAGCCATGCACGCACACAGATAGAGAGAGGCTGCCTCCATCCATAGGATGAGAAAAATCTGAATGGATCGTAGTGTATATTTCCATGTTCTAGCGGTGGACACACGTGAATTCCCAAGGATCTATCATAAGTCAGCTATTCCTTCCAAAATCTCTCTCGGAAGTACCCTCTCTCTCTCTCTCTCTCTCTCTCTCTCTCTCTCTCTCTCTCTCTCTCTCTCTCTCTCTCTTACACACACACAGACACGCACACACACGCACACACACACACACACACACACACACAGACACGCACACACACGCACACACACACAGAATGTCTCCTGTTTTGGGGGGGGGAGAGAAAGAGTCCCCTTTTTTGTTGGGGGGGTGATTTTCCAAATACCCCCGTAAGTTGAGATACATATTTCAAATTGTCCCTAAAAGATATTGGCAATGGCCTTTTGGACTGACATGTTCGTGTTATGCCCCTGTCAGGTGGGTATGCAAATTCGCTTGGCCTTTTGCAATTGCACCTACGACAACTTGGCAACTGCCGGGGCATTTTGCAAAGTTGGGCAGCCTCCCGTAGGGGTACATTGCAAAGATGGGGGCCAACTGATGGCTGGGGTGTTTCGCAAAATGTTTTTGTCATGGTCCTTCGCCGCAGCGTCACTGCGGCGGGTCCACTTGTTTTTTTAAATCATGGGGTCTCAAAGTACGCCTACTAAAACTCGAGAAGAAGGGGATCGTGTTGGAGCCTTGGCTGATGGGTCCTCGACCCCCCTGAAATGAAGTATCACCATTCTCTGATGCCGGGGCACCTTTTGCAATCATTACCCTTCTTCCCGACAACTATCAGAAGCATTAAAACATCTTATAATGAATGGATAGGACAGTTACATGTGCGCAGCTGAGAATGCCCACGGCTAGTGATGTTACGTTTTTTTATGGCGACAATGGGTGGAGTCCCTTCGTGGCTCGGGAGGCTGAGCCTCAATGGTATTTCTCAATGGTCTCAATAGTATTTCTGAACAGTTACTACATTGTAAGGGACGTTGGACCCGTTTTCCAAGAGGTGCAGCTCCCGACCTATAGAACAGAGCCATTGACCTGGGGCAGTTACCTGTCCTGATGTTCCTTGGGGGGGGGGGGGGGGGACCCTTGACCTTCCCTACCTTTTCTTTTTTTTTTCCTTCTTTTTTTCAAACCACCAGTACCTTTGCCGAGTGGGAAAATAGCAGGCCTTGGGTGGGCCTCCTACCTTTTAGAAGGCCGAAACAAAACAATGGCCGCCGCGAGAGAGAGAGAGACTCAGAAGAGAGAGAGAGAGAGAGAGAGAGAGAGAGAGAGAGAGAGAGAGAGAGAGAGAGAGAGAGAGAGAGAGAGAGAATAACGAGTTCATCTTTCTTTGAAAGCCACAAAAGTAAAATTGCAACCCGGCATTTGCCGCATTTCTCAAAGGAACACACTGGAAAACACAAAGAAACAGCTCTGCATCCTACTTTATCAAGTCAAAGGTTTCTTGGTCTTCCAATGATTTTGCCTCTTCCGCCTTTTCTGAGCGAGCCTGTACGTGCCATACACGTTTCGTCTTTCTGAAATTCCAGGAATGAAAAAGGCACGGAACAGCGGGTGCGACCGTTGGGCATCAACGAACGGGATTTCTGCGATGACCTGCCACGTGGATTTATTGGAGGATCGTCCCACCCGACTCCTGCTGCCATTGACGACTAGCTCGACGACGTAGTCACACTCCGCCTCTCCGCTCACAAACTGTCCGACCGCCGCCTTATTTCGGTTGTTGAAATGCTCCGGCGCTGACGCTGTTCCCCCTCCTCCGATGCCAAACGGGAACGGCAACAGTCCGCGGAACCCGTCATCCAGAAATCCGATGCTGTAGTTGACAGACGGCAGAAAGTACGACGAAGGGTAGCGGTACCATTCGCTCCCGACACACAGCACAACGGAATCTACCCCCCCCAAGTCCTTCCTTCGGGCGCTAATTCCCGGCCAGCCATTGACCGGACTCCAGGGAGGCGGCGGCTCTTCGACTCCTGGGTGGGCGGCAAGAGAGGGCAGAGCGCTGTATATTTTCATAGGTGCAGAGTAGTTGTGGAGAAGGGCGGTAATACGCGAGAGGGAGAGAATCACAAACAGGAGCAGGGTAAGACGTCGAACACCGCTCATCACCGCAGAAAAGAATGGGTAAGCCGTCGTGCTCGCACGGCTTTCGGCATGGAACGATGTCAAACGACGTGAAGCATCTACATCGTGCGTGCAGAGAACGTTCAGCGAAACGGCTGCCGCCGTGCACACGAGAGGATAGATGACATACATGAACCGCTCTTCCTTGTGCGCGACGGTGGACATGAATGTCATCCACACATAAACGGGGGAAACGCCAACGAGAACCAGGCTGAGACTGCTCATCCACCTCCGCTTGAAGAGAAGAGCAAAGAAAGGAAGAAGCAGAGCAAGCGGAAGCGCGACGTTGAAGTTGTTCGCACAGTTACGCAGGTAGTAAAAAGGACCCTCGACTCCGTAGAGGTGGCTGTCGCCACCGCCGGCGACGTTGTACAGAACCAGGTTAAGTACCGATACCGTCCACCGGCCGTAGAAGTAACGGTCGACAAGCGCAGAGATCGTCATCACAGATGCGGTCACACCAAGGCCACAGCCGACCACACTGACGAAGCCGCCGGAAAGCAAGGCATGGAGGACAACGGGTACGAAAGCGAGAACAGCGAACGGCCAACCGACAAGCACACCGACAGCAGCAAGGGTAACCGACATGTGCGGCCTCTTCATCCACATGGCGGCCACTGAGGCAGACATAAAGTACATGGTGAAAGTGCTGGGAAGAAACGCCGTGCTCGACACAAACATTGCCGATGAGAAAACAAGAAGGATCAGCGAGTGCATTCCAACCTTCCTGCCCAAAATGGATGACAGAGACGTCACAAGACTCGCCTCTGTGGCCGCGGATACCAAACCAAACACCAGACGCAGCCAGTAGAAGGAAACAACCTTCATCCCCCCTCCCCACCACGACGCACACCACGACAACGGCTTTATAAGAAGGAGATGGAAGACGAGATACAAATAAGACCGCAAGGCATACCTGGCACTGTATTCCCAGGTCTGAAGACCGGTCCCATGGTCCAGAAAGTGGAGCGGTTCCCAGTAGTTGAAGGTCTCATCGCAATCGTGGATGAGGTTTAGGCATGCGCTAACGGAACGAGCGACAGCCAGTGCAAAGAAGGCCCAGTGCCATGGGAAAGCGAGGTCGTCACCGGGCGATGTCCGCCAGCCTGGTGGTGACGACCGCCCTGCAGGCGTGCGCTGGCCTACTGGCGTACGCTGCCCTCCATCTTGCCGTCTCTCCTCTCTTGATGGACTTTTCGGTCTGCTACCGCCCCTCGTAGTCCTCGATTGACCATCGTAGGGCTGATATTGTGCGTCGTCGTCGTTGCTCGGTGCACTCTTCGGCCTGTGATGATACGCTTCTGACGACTCTGATTCCTTCGCATCATCCCCGTCATTCCCAGGGTCGAACCGCAAGTATCCTGTATTGACAACCGCCTTGCTGTCGCCGTCCGATTGCGATAAAGGGACTACATCTGATTCAGTGCTAGGAGACACACTTGGAGGCGCTTTCCGACGACGTGGCTGGGTCAGCTTAGCCATCATGATGACGAAAAGATCTCACGACCCTGCAGCATGATGAGATGTGTCGGGCGTGGCACTCTGCCAACACTCTCTTCACACACACGACACAGACACACATGAGTAAACAGCGCATAATACTGCTCCCCACAAAGAGACGGGAGCATGTGTTCTAAAACTGAACAACTTTTGCCTCAAGATTACATCGAAAATACTTACCAAATTTAAAATACTTTTTTAATTAAAAAATCATTTTTATTAAATTTATTTTTTATTTTATTTCTTTTTGGCCCGGCCGGGCAAGTGGAACCGGGCCACTCTGGAGCATGGTCCCACTAGCAACGGGATAGGATAGAAACGAGTTTGTGTGGCATATTAGTGACCCAAATCCTGCCGCGCAGTACTCATGATCCCACAGACTGTGTTTTACGTGTATTACCCGAAAAAGTAAGGAGATCTTTGTTCCCCTCCTCCTCTGCTTAACACCGGGCATGCCCGTGCAAAGAAAGCTTCCCGCCAAAATCTTTTCAATCTGTTGGGGGTATGGCCAACCCCAAAAGAGGGTGGGATCGGACTTAGGCCCACTGGATAGAAGATTTTCAGTATTTTACTTCCAGCTGTACAATTATCTCATTGGGTGGGTGGAGCCCTCCTTCAATCACGGAGCATCATATCGAGGGAGTCAGGATCACTGCTGACAGAAGTCGAGTTAATTCCAGAAAATGTGGCGGTTACTTTGTTCACTGTTGCTGCAACCACCACCATCAGATCATTGGTGATCTGATGGCTGGGAAGCACTCTGCCATGATTTCCCGTGGGAGGTCTCTGTTTCATTTTATTTTATTTTTTGCCTTTCTCCTATTTTCTCAGCCCATAAATTTGTAATGAACCTGTCAGCCCGCTGCCACTCACTGTCACACTGGATCGCCCACACTCCTATCCTACTCCTAATGGGACCATGCTCCTGGTAGCCTAGGTATAAAGTTTTTAAGAAGAAACAAAAACAAAATACTTTTTTTTTTTTTTTT